ATCAATTTATTCCATAAATTCAATATCATATGAGAAATCATTATTATAATCTCAGAATCTAAAATATCTAATCTTATATTTAGAAATATTTTTTATTTAATGTTATCAATTTTTTCATTCAAATAATAAAATTTTCAATATTTCAAATCGAAAATATCTTATTTCTTAAAAATTTTCTTGCTTCATTATATATATGTTAATATAATACAATATTTTTCTTCAAATAAGAATTTAAATAAAACTGTATAGTGCCTCTCAATATATATCTTTCTATGAATTTATATATAATATATATATTTATTATTATTATTATTATTATCTCTTCATATATTTTATCTATTTTAAATGAACCATGATAGAAATAGAAACCATATCATTACATCTAAAATTCTCATATTGAAATATATTGATCTCATCTCTCCTGCCCCTTCTTTTCCATTATATCTTCGAAGATAGGGAAATAAATAGAATAGGATCCAATTACATATTATTACTATCTGCCCCGCCCAAAAGCCTGAGGACCAAGCGCCGATGAGATCCGCGAGGCGTCCGATGGCTCCCTGGTCATGATGAGGTTTCGATTGGCCTAAGCATAGGATGTGAAGCGAGCGGCAAAAATCCGTCATCCCGGTGGTCGCTGCGACAATGATGATACATATATATGTATATGTATGTACATATAAAAAAAAAGTATATCAGACCGCAAGAAACCGATTTTTCAGACTGTATTTGTGCCATTCTGTATCGACGATCTTCGTCGAAAACAAGCACAGATCAGATCTCAGAATTTCAAACGAATTTCAATTGGCAAATAGCCCCCGTCGTTTCGACCGAGGCAGCTTGCAAAACAAGTCTGCACCACTGGCTGTCCGAGTACTATCGTCCAGCAAAGCCAAGCTGAAACCTGAAAAGCTGAAACCCAAGATCACATGGAATCCAATAATCTCGAACCCAATTCTTACTTCCCCAAGAAGGCAGGGAAATAGAAGGTTAAACTTTCAGATTGCTACAAAATTTTTAGAGCCACCAAAATTTAAAGGTTTGGTATTGGAGAACTGCGAGTTTGCTGAACCCTAAACCCTGAGCCAGGTGCGATGAATTCTGTGAAGCGGCTCCGTAGGATCAACTCCCAGCCGGTGACACGTGGAATTGCATCGAAACTCATCCGAAAAGGCCGCCTTTCATTTGTTGCTGACCAGCAGCAGTGAGGAAACCCTCGCGAATCTGCGACTGTAGATCTCCAACAGCCGAGGGCCCATGAGGGACCACGATGGAGCCGTGGCTGCCAGCGAACTCCTTCAAGGTGTCCAGATACCTCCACCACGCAAAAAGAGGCCGGGGATACTTCGAGTTAGGAAAAGGCAATGGAAAAAGTGACTGTGTGGCAAACGAGGCACTGGGTCATGATCATCATGTGCATCGCCTCTTTCTCGTTCATGCCGCTCTCCTTCATCTTACTATATAGTTTCGTTTTGCTAGTACTCAGAATATTATATTCACATTATATTAGCAGCACCTTCATGAACTTCATGGAGTCTTGGAACCCCTGCGCCATGGCCGCACGCATGTTGGCCATGCCCACGCCGGCCAGGCGCTTGGCTTCGGCGTCAGCTTCCGAGGCCTCGCCACGCACTCTGCCAGGGCAGGCTCTGGGGCTTTAAGGGCTTGCATACATGTGGGCATGCGTTTGTTCCTAACGATCGAAAGAACTAAAAAACTGACTGACTACATGAACGAATGAATGAGAGGATGGACGAACGAACGAAAGAACGAACGAAAGCATGTGTGTGTAGGTGTTCGTATGCACGCCTGAGCTCTTGTGTTCACTCATATACATGCATCTTTCCATCACGCAGCTGTACACATGCACCCGACGTGCATAAAGTAAAGCGAATCAGCATGAACGTGGTCTTCATATTCTCAGGGAAATAAAGTATTCGGGACGACAAGAGACCATTATAGAGGGGGTATCAGAGGAGTGACCGAAGCCATTGAAAAACCGTAGCTGAGCTTACCCCAAGCCCTGAACCTGTCAACATCGTCACAAACTCCCTCGCATAGAGTAGATACCAAGGCAAGGAGCTTCAAGAAAAGATTGCGCATAAACTCTAAAACCCTAGATTGAGCTACATAGGCATAGGGTTTGGCATTTCTCTCTTCAACAACCAGGCTCAGAAAAGTTCAAACTTTTTAGGATAGACTTAATATATAAGGCCAACAGTCGAAAGTTCTCCCATTGGCTAGGTAAGTTTTTGGCTGGTGCGTTCAGGGTACTGTTACCTCTCAACGTCAAGCCCGGAATCCACCGTCAACATCCGAGAGGCATCCCAGACCAAGCCCATGCCCCTAAATACAAGCGTAGTAGCCTCAAGCCCGCACCCTAAGCTGCAACAAAAACGCTCCGCCACACCAGCTAAGCTCGAGAATTCCAGAGCTCTGAACCCTTAAAGCGCAGGAACCAAGACCGAAAACCTTGACCCCTAAACCCGAAGCCGCGCCTTAATCTTGAGAAGCTTGTCGGCCTCACCCTTCTCAAAAGCGGCTTCGCGCATTCTCCGGGAGGCATTGATTTCCTTAGTTCAAAGAAGTTCAAGGTTTAGTAGTGAGTTACTAAGTCATAGGCTAAGTTTCGTTCATGGCATTGAGGACAGACTGTTCGGGATGGATGTCGGTGATGAGGACGTTCACGATTTCATAGCCGTATTGGCCCATGGCTTGTCTTACTGACTCCAAGATCTCTGCCACCATCTTCTCCTTGGCTTCGTAGCTCTCGTCGAGGGTCATGGTGGGCATGGTAGACCTCAAGACGTTGTCCACTTCGGCTCTGATCTGATCGTGTGGGCTGGCGATGTCGAATGTTGCCACCTTCACCATGTCTTTCAGGATTCGGTACTGCACGGCCGTCACCGTAACAACCGTCACATTGTCCTTGGTCTTGCAGTCCGACTTGCAGGTGAGTTGGTTCACGGCCAGGGAGACACCCGAGACGGTCGTGCAGGGCCAGCAAATGCAGCTGCAGCCCGGCTCCTGCAAGCCCTGGTACTCCCCGAACTTCTGAATCACGCCGACGGACCCTGTGTCGATGCACGAACAGCAGCAGCAAGACATGGCTTCGGATTTAGAAACGTCAGCAGGGAGGGCAGCTTCCTGGGAACCTCATGTTTCGGTTCAGGCAGGGAAGCTTCATCTTGCCATATTGTGCTGACAGTGCCGTCCGAAGCAAGCGAAAAATGTCAGGTCACAGTACCCCCTGGTCATGGTACTGCACAGCACAACAAGCAAGCTTGGCACCATAAACCCCCAAACCTCGCCCACCGTTCTTTTCCTCAGATGTGTAGAAACGACGATCCTTTCCTGCACGACTTCGCTCCGAAAGCTTCCCTCTCACCATCGCTCTCCGAATCAGTTTCGGAGTCCGAAAAGTCGTCTCCAGTTTCGGTGGCGACCTCCTGAGGCAACAGCAGCACTCAAACCTTGACATAGATAAATACCTAACAGCACATGACATTACATTAATCTTTACATTACATTGCATTACATGGCGTTACAATACACTGCGGTACACTGCATGGCAGTACATTCACCTTACCATACGAATACAATAACATGCAATGCAGTGCAATACAAAGCAATGCCAAACCATACGGCACAATACAAGTATAGTTTCAATTACGACCACAATAACAACGCTCTATCACCCTGAAAATGCACGCAGGGAGGAGTGACAGCAACGTACGGTTCATGTGGCCTGCGTGGGACGAACGACATGTCAGTTTGACTCTTAGACGAGGGAAGTTCCTATATGCGTTGTATGTGGCCTATGTGGGACAAAACCCACTTTGTGTAAGCAGAGTTGGCGAATTTGCTTTGCGTAGCCTTTGCTTCGGTCTTCCGCGAGAACCCTTGCCGCAAGACAAAATTTGTGTTTTTGTGCGGGAAAACGCTGGACGCAAATTTTAAAAAACATGCGTTTATGCTTAGCGTGGTGTTGTGTCGTTTGGGCTGCGTGGGACAAGCAGCACTTCCGACGAAACAAACATGAACAGCAGCAACGAGTACGGGTCAGCAACGTGAAAACGACCGTCATGATCATAATGATGATGATGATCATCATCATCTGCATGGTCATCATTAGCACCATGCTAAAACAGAAGAGGCTTTTGAGAGTGAAGGCTTCGGCTTTCTTGAAGTGCACTTCTGGCAGAGACTTCTTTGGGCTTCATGCTGAGTACGTGCAGGGAGCGTAGTGGGCCTAACTAACTTGGGTTGTAGACACGACGAAGGCTTGGGCTCACTTGCGGCTTATTCCTGAGTACGTGCAGTTTTGGGCACGGATGCTCTGCTATCAAACGCACTAGACCATGGACGTCATTAAGTTTTGGGCACGGATGCTCTGTTGTCAAACCCACTGGACCATGGACGTCATTAGGCTTTTTTGCATGGATGCTTTGTTGGCAAACGCACTAGACCATGGACGTCATTAAGTTTTGGGCATGGATGCTCTGTTGGCAAACGCACTCGACCATCATGAGGATGGACGGCATCAGGTTTTGGGCACGGATGCTCTGTTGTCAAAACGGATCAGACCATGGACATCATTGCTTTGGGCATTGGGTGTAGAGGAAACAACGCAAATACCGATGGTTTCGGTACTGCAAGCAAAGGAAATGCCGTAAATACCAAGGCTTTCGACACTTGCATAACGCAGGCGCCGGGAACGCCGACGCCACCGATGGAATCCATGTCGGTTTTGTGCGTTTAGAGGTTGATGGAGCCAATAACAACGCACTTACAATAGCAGTTGCAGTTAGCAAATAGCAGTTAGCAACCAGCAATCAGCAACTAGCAATTCGTAATCGCAACAACAATAACAATAAGATCAAAAGACACACACACACACACACACACACACGTAATCCCAAATGGAATGAAGAATAAATTCCTTCGCCTCGGTTGATTTCAATTCCCCGCCAGGATGGTTATTTATTGGGCGGGAAGCGTAGTGGTAGTATAGTAGTATAGTACTGTAGTAAATAGTACAGTAGTGGGACGGGATCATTGTTATTGAGTTTCCCGAATTTTTCAATAGAAGGGGATTTATACTGGAGTTTCCGGACTAGGGATTTTTTAAACGTGAGGGTTATAAGAACGAACTTGACATATTGTACATGTACATATATATATATGTATATATATATATAGGCGTCTCGGATCAACCGGTTAGGGAACCGGATAGCCGAAGACCCCAGTGCCAGTAGATCGGCACGACAGGGATTCACTCTCCGCCGTGGCATAGGCGACAACGGCTCCGCCGCGCCTCTGCAAGGTTCCGGATCTGGCGTGCAAGAACACGAGGCAAGTGTCCGAAAGCCTGCGACCTCGCCCTGCTCGAGGGGCACCATACCAGGCCCCACTATCGGGAATCCATGGGAAGACGGCAAGGCCAAGGATGGCAAGGATGGGGCGGCAAACCGCATGGCACAGACTCCTATGCTGGATGGCAGCAGCAACCACGGGAGCCGAGATGGCCATCCAATGCCCGGCACCAGAATGGCAAGGACAAGGTGCAGTTCCCGTCCTTCGACTCCATGACGATTGCGACCGCCCCCCCGGATGCGAAGGAGCAGGAAGAGGCGGAGCCATCTGGCTCTATGGGAAGTGTGGCTGCTGCAGGCAAAGTTGTCCGCTCGGTGCAGCGGCAGGTCAACCAGCTGCGGAAGGTGGAGGCCAAGCTGCGCAAGACGGACACAGAGTTGCAGGCCACGCAGGACAAATGGGCAGCGTGGCAGAAAGAAATGGCCAGAAGCCACGCCAGAGAGAAGGCCAAGTTCCTCGCCACGATGGACAAGCTCAGCGAGGAGCGACAAGAACAACAGGCTACCATGGACGAGGTCCTCGGAGAGCTCCAGCAAGCCATGACAGCGGCGGACAAGAAGGAGAGCAAGGAGGAACCGGAGATCCCCGCGAATGTCATGGCGGAATGGGAGAGCCTAGTGAACAGCGCCGACAAGGAGGAGCCGTCCCTCTCGGACCTCTTGGAGGAGGCGCTTCAGGGGCGCAACCAGTTGCGCCCCAAAGAAGCGGAACGACTCATCGCCGTGTTCACGAACAAGGTGGTTGGTGCAACGACCCCCCCAAGGAGACCGGAGCGCACGACAGCTATGACACCACCAGCGACGGCGCCAGCAAAGCGGACAACGGCCATGGAAGTGGACACGGACAAGGCAGGTCAAGGACCAGAGGCCTACAGCACTATGATCTCAGCGGACGAAGACCCCTACCTGTCGTCGCCTTCCATCAGCGGTGTCCACAGCATGCTGACCAGCACAGGTGGAAGAAAGCCCAAGGTGGGCCAGCAGCGGATGCCAATCAAGGCGGTTGGCAGAAACCCCGCGCCCTCGCCCAAGGAGGGTACAGCCCTGGGTCGCAAGCTACAACAGATGCGCGAAAAATCGGGGCTTGCTGCTGCGGTGACAGAGGTCGACGAGGGCTCGGAATCCGACGAGGACCTGCACATCGGAGACCTTGGCAAGCCATCGGAGCGCAAAGACGAAGAGCAGGCGGTCGAGTAGACCTGCGCCCCGGCCCAGGCTGGAAGATTATGAGACAAGGGCTTTTTCGGTGTGTCCCTTATGACTATGCACCTGCAGCTATGGCCCACCCGGATGGTGGAGAAGGCTGCCAATCCTCTTTTGAGTTCAACCGCTCTGTCTCCTTGAAGGTTGCAGATGGTGAACAATGTCAATGGTGGCGTCCGGATCTCCGTGATGGAATGCCGGAAGCCTCTTATGAATTCGGGGCCCTCCCTGGAGGAAGGGACAAAGATATCTGGAAGGAACCGACCTTTCATTTGGTGCTGGTTTTGCGAGGTGACCTACAGGTTGTTGTCAGGATCGTGACGGACAAGACGATCGCCTTGGATGTCGAGGCCAGTGACACCAGGGATAATGTCAAGACTAAGATCCAGGACAGGGAAGGCATCCCGCTAGACCAGCAGTGCCAGATCTCAGCTGACAAACAGTTGGAGGATGGTCGTCCCCTTTATTACTACGACATCCAGAAGGTACCTATCCTGCGCGTGTTCTTATGCCTGCAGGGTAATACCCAGATCGTTA